TGGCACCTAACAACAAATTCTAGCTTAGCAACAATCTTGTAGAGTACTCCTGGGTAAATTACTGTGTCTCTCAGACCTCCATCTCTCCACTGAGCAAGCACTGGAGTTGCTAAAAGTATCTGATGAGGTCTGTTCTACACCACAGCTGCTATGAAACAAAGTGACATAGATATGTGGGAGGAATTCTGTTCAGTGCTGTAAGAAATTTTGCATTGTGTCCAGGCATGTGAACCTTGAAAATCTGGATAATATTTTATTTTTCAGACAGATTGAAGTTGTTCTTAATGACATTAAGTTTGTTCACTCACGTTTCAGAATTTTTGGACATCCTTAATTTTCTAAAACTATTAGGTGTGTGTGTAAATCTGATATAATATTAATCACCAGAATTTAAATGAGGTTAACAGTCCTAATTCTGTCCTAATAGAGAGATTTGACATTTCTCCATCTTGCCCTTTGAAATTTAGAATATCACCTTTTTTGATTCCAAGATTATGGGTAGAACTCAATTTAAGAGATGCTTCTTAAAAAAATTACAATTTAATCTCTTCAGCTAAATTACTTGGTATTAACAGTTAATCATGACCTTTTATGGAGGACACAAGACAAGAAATTTCCTAAATTCACCATTTTAGACTTTGAAACCAGAAGGTCATTATTACCCTCAATACAAATTGGAATTAGTGTATTCCCCTTCCTCTGATCTCTCATTCCTCTGACTTCCCTGTGTTGTTGTTAAGTGCTATTGAGTTGGTTCTGACCCATAGCAACCCTGTATAGGGTTTCCGAGTAGTATCTCATGAGTTTGAACTGCCAACATTTCGGATCAAACCAACTTTGCAATCCAGCACATTAACCCACGGCGCCACACCAGGACTCCCTGACTTCCCTTTATAAATCACATTTTTGTACATAAAGTCATACGGCTCTAAATGAACAGGCTTTGTGATTAGGAGAGAGGCTTAGTCAGATGTCTGGGGTCCTCTCCACATTTGCAATTAAATGATTTGGCATTTGAAAAATATGTTCTAATTATGAGGAAGCCCTTGTGAGACAGTAGCTAAAGCATTCAGCTGCTAACCAAAGACTGGCAGTTTGAACCTCCCATCTGCTCCACAGAAGAAAGATATGGCAGTCTGTTCCTGAAAACATGAACAGCTTTGCCAACAACCCTATGGGGCTGTTCTACCCTGAGTCAGAGTCAACTCAACAGCACAGTGTTTGGTTCAATTGAAGAGCAAAGACGTCAGCTTGAGGACTAAGGTGCGCCTGACCCAAGCCATGGTATTTTCAGTAACCTCATATGCATGCGAAATCTGGACAGTGAATAAGGGAGATCGTAGAAGAATTGATGCTTTTGAGTTATGGTGTTGGAGGAGAATATTGAAAGTGCCATGGGCTGCCAAAAGGACCAACAGATCCATTTTGGAAGAAGTGCAGCCAGAGTGCTCCTTGGAGGTGAGGATGGCCAAACTACGTCTCTCATACTTCGGATATAATGTCAGG